GAGGACGAGATGGTTTGACTGTGTCATTGAAGCAACCAGCATGACTTTTTCCCAACTCCAGGAGGCCGTGGAAGACAGGAGGGCCTGGCGTGCTCTCGTCAGTGGGGTCACGAAGAGTCGGGCACAACTAAATGACTAAACCACAACAAAGGGGTCTAGGAAACCCTTCCACCCATTGGGTTCCTTGGACAGCTCAGGGAAGGACCGCCTCACCCTCTGTGCTTTTCCTGCTGGGGTTTCCTTGCTTAGGGGTCCACCATCCACCGACCCACCCTGGAGTGCAAGGGTATCAGGTCTTGCAGGAAGCCATGTTCCTGATGCAAATGCTGGACTTTTTGCTGCAAGTGGTGCTTGTACGCTTGGAGCTTCTGCACTCGTTGGACCAGCCGATACAGCTCCTGCCTCAGCTCCTGGTTCTGTTGCCGAACAGCCTGGCTATGTTCCTGCAGGGACCGGGAGGCAGCCCCTTGGGCCTCTTGCACCCAAAGCCCTGCCCTCCGCTGCACCTCCTGCTCATGAGCAGCCTTCTCCTGTAGGAAGCGGGTCTTGGCGGCTTGCAGGCGCTCCAGCTGTTGCTTCCGGGCAGTGGCCAGCTCCTGCTGTAGCACCTGAATGTGGCGTGCCTGTTCTTTCTGCAAGTCCTGGACCCAGCGCAGCCCCTCCAGTTCAGAGGTGAGGTGGGCCAGCTCAGCCTCTTTCTGCAACAACTGTTTGTGCAGGGCCTCCTCCTGTGCCTTCATGCAGGCCAGAAGCTCCTGGTGGTGCTGCTGAGTCTCCGCCAGTAAGGCTTGGTTCTCCTCGCTCAGGGAAACGGCAAGCCCCTGGCGCCACTGGGCCCGCTTGCCCAAGTAGCCCAAGAATTCCTGGCTCTGAACGTGGAGCTCCTGTCCCTCCTGCTGGAGGAAGCGGTGCTGGGCCTGCAGCTGCCCCCTCTGTCTTCTCAGGTGCTCCAGGTCGTGGCAGATGCGCTCGTATTGTTCTTGCAGGAGCATCACTGTGGCCTCATCCTGCACAGGCCCCTCTGCACCAGCCCCAGTGGCTGTCGGCACCATCCTGCGTGGCTGCCCTTTCTTCTTCCCCTGGCGCTTTGTGGACATCGTGAGACCTGGAAGAGGGGGAAGGAAAGACGCTTCAGCTAATCATACAGCTGGAAAGGACCTTGACGATCCTGCGGCCCACCCTTCTCAAAGGAGGCTCCCCTCTGCAGGATTATCGTCTTGTGTTGTTTGCAATAAAATAATACCATTTCCCCCCAACAGATTTAAAAACATATATAGTACAATGCACATTTAAACAGTAAACATAAAGTGTCAGAATCTCTAACTATCGAACAATAAACAAAGATAATCTAAATGCAAAGAAAAAAAGAAAGAAAAGCCTAAGGCTTAACATAGAAGCAATCTTGTATATTGGAATAATTCTTCTGGTGAGATCCTATCCATGACATCCCACTTTTTATTCATTTTCTGTTCCTTTACTGCAGGATTTTTACTTTCCACCAATTATAAAATAAATTGCAGCTTAAATAAAAAGATGATTCTTCTTGTCCCTTTAGCCTCTTAATCTATCCATTTCTGCACTTTCTATTTTTTTTTAATGATCATATCATCATTTGGTGGATTTTCATCTTTCCAGACCTGTACCCACAATAACCGAGCTGCTGTCAAAACATGTATTAAATAATAGCTTTGTATATCTACAGTATTTGGTAGTAATCCTAAGAAAAACATTTCCTATTTAAATTCTATTACCTGTTTTGAGATTTGCTTACTCCACATGTAGATTTTAGCCCAATAATTTTTTGCTGTATCACAAGTCCACCATACATGATAATAACTTCCTTCATATTTTTTACATTTCCAACACTTATTTGAGATATTTGGGAACATTTTTGCAAGTCTAGCTGGTAACAAATGCCATCTGTATGGATTTCCGTTTATTTCCTCTCATCGTAATTGATGGTTGGTGGACGCAGTTGGTCTGGCTTCTCAGCTGAGACCTGTCTTGCTTGGGAGACCCTTCAGCATAACTCTCAACCTCAGTGAAGCACGCAAGCCCCCCCACCTCAACAAAGCCTGGGCCCATCGAAGGGATGATGATGATGATGATTGTTGTGGTGGTGGTTGTTTAAAATAATAATAAGAGGATGTCCCCTCCCTCCTCCTCTCACCCTTCCCAGGCCCTGACTGGTTTCAGGTAGGAAGCTTCCCCACGAAGGTTATGGGAGATGCCTCCCCTCTGGCCTCCTTGTGCCCCAGAGGAAGACATTTCTCCATCCCACTGTCCTGGACCCCTTCGCAAGGGAAAGAAGCATTGCGGAATGCCGTGGGACTGTCCGTGGCGTGGAGGCACAGGGCAGGGCTGGAGCCAAGCGTTTGTGAACCCTGGTACAGGAGACTTGTCCCCGGCAGGTCTGGCCTATAGTACCAAAAATGGAATGAAAAAGGAAGCCGAGAAGCCCCAGTGAGACGTGGAGAGGAAAGGAAAGGCCGCCTTCCCTCTGGCAGCGCTCTGCTGGAAAGCTGGAGTTAAACGCCCAAGAAGCCAAACTGGAGCAGGGGTGGAGCAGCGTGAATCTTCCCCCCCCCCCGTTCCTCCTGCTCTGTTCTGCCCAGGAAGGAAGGCTTTCTTAGGGCTGGGCCAGGCAGAGCGTGGGAACCCGAGGGGCTAGAGAGAAGGGCCAGGGGTGGGGTGGGGTGGGGTGGAGTAGAGTGGGGGAGACCGGCCCACCGCCTCGGACCAAAATCACAGGCAGCCGATATCTGAGGGAAAGGACTGGGTGGTCCTGCAGGCCCGCCGGTGCCCTGAGAGGAGGCAGGGAGAGGGGGAGAGCCAGACCCCCCCCCAGCCCAGGGATCTGCGCCTACCTGCCAGCTGCCTGGGAGAGCTTTGCCCGTGGCCTTGAAGAGGGAGAAGAGGAAGGAGGAGGTCTGGCATCTGTGCGTTGTTTCCCCCGTTGCCTGGCGAGGACGGGAGAGGGAGGGGGAGGCGAGGGCTTCCTTTCAGAGTCCGGCAGGCAGGCAGGCAGGCACCCGTTCCCTTGCCTCTTTCCTCTGGCCAGCTGCGATCCAGAAACAGGATGGTCCCCCTTGTCAGAACGACCTCTGTGTGTCTGCTGCCCCTCCACCCCCATCAAGGACTGGGACATAAAAAGACTTTCAGGGCAAGCCTCTTTCTCGCTCTCCTCTTTCCTCCGTCCCCTCTGCCTACCACACACACCCTTTTTGTAACACACCAACGGGAAAAGGGGGGCACACACCATTTTAGGCTTGGCTGAATTGGCTGACAAAGCAGGCTTCACCGGTGGGGGAGAAAAAACACCAGCAGCTACTGCTTAGGATCTGTGTGCCGGGGGTGGGGGGTGGGGGAAGGGCTGTACATTCTTGTGTGCCACCAGATTTCACACACACCCCCTCTCACTCACTCACACACTGGCACAAGTTATGCACTGGCAACCCCTTTCTGTTCCTCTAGCGTAAAGTAGCAGTGGCGGGGGCAGCCACATCTTGGTTCTCTGCCCCCCTCGCCCCCCCCCGCATCACGAGCAGGAATTTTGGAGCGGTTGGTCATCAGGGGGTCCCGCGTGGGATTCCAGGCGTGTCTGGCTTCTTTCCTGTCCTTTGCCTCTTCCTTCCACATCCTTCTCATCGGGGGGGGGGGGGGGGGGAGGCGGAGGGGGAAGCTTGGAGCTGGGCTTTCAGGACATTTGGGGGCCCAGAAGGAAGAAGCGGAGCTTCAACTAGGGTGGCGCCTCCAGGTCTTTGCTCCGGGCCACCCCAGCCGAGCAGCGAACCTGGAGCCGAGGGTTGGGGACATCAGGGGCAACCCCTTCTGGCCCTCTTTGGTTTCTTCTTCTTCTTCTTCTAAAACATAACGTTTCCTCATTTTTGGGAGGGGGAAGGGGGGACCTCCTGCTTTCTTGGTGTGTGTGTGTGTGGGGGGAGCCCACAAGGCTTCGCCTGCCTCCGGGAAGAGCAAAAAGGGAATTACTTTCAGCCCACGGAGAAGCAGCAGCAGCAGCAGTGGCGCTTCTGTGGCGTTTGGTGGCCTTCAACCGGCTCGCGGGTGGGGTGGGGGCTGAATTCTTCCCATGCAAAAAACGTGGGGGAGACTCACGATTGGGCCAGAGGTTCAGCAGGGACCCCCTCCCCCCCCCCCAAAATAGCTGGAAATGCTTTTCTGCCAACAGCAGCAGCAGCAACAGAACCTCCTGTAGCAGCTGAAAGACGAGCTTTTATTTGGCATTTATTTGGTGTCGGTGAGGCTCAGCCCATCTCTTCCGATACAGCCAGACAGGAATGGCGAGCCTCGAAGGTACCGCAGCGTCCTCGGTCCTCGTCCTCCTGCAGCCACAGACGAAGCGGCGTTTCCCCCTACCCACCCCCAGCCATCAGACCGGCGGCGTCGGTGCGCATCCCTTGAGGAGCCCGGCCGGGAGGGGGCGCCCCTCCGTGCGCGGGGAGGGCTTTTCCGAGGAGACCACCCGGGGCGTTCCCGGCGCCCCCCGCTGGCCGCCCTCGAAGAGCGGCGCGGAAGCTTCCAAGAGGGCGGGGGCGCGGGTTAGAAGCCCGGGTGTGAGGGCGCCCCGTCAGGGCAGCTCCCCTCGGAAGGAGACGTGGGCGGGAGGGGGGTCGTGTCGCCCGGCGGCCCCAGACCCTCGCCCGAGGCGCGGCGGGCAGGAAACTCAGCAGGAAGACCGTCCAAGGGCGTTACGTGCGCTGCTCCTCGGGCTGGG